AATGAGAATAGAAATAATTTTAGTTGAAGACGGGACTGTTGGGCGGTGAAGGTTTTCCTCATCATGGTCACCGAAATCATCTCAAACCATCCTGTGAGTAGTATTGTCATTCTTTCATTACATTGTCGTAATCTTTAATCCAAATGTGATAACTCTCTCCATTTCTGAAACAACTTTTTGTCCTTTGAATAATAACGTATATAATAACGAATAATCCTTTGAATAATCTCATCCTTCTATTTTTTTTTATAATCTAATCAAGTCCTGCCCCACATTATTTCCTGCTGAACATTATATGAAAATGCCACTATTATAGAAATATTACACTAAAAGTTTACATTAAAAAATGATATAATGTTACACATTTTAAATTCACTCCTACGGAAACCTTAAATTAAAAAAAAAAGGAGAAAGTAAAAAAAAAAAAAATAATTATGTAATGTTATGAATTTTAAACTAAAAAAGAAATATTAAACTTTTTTTAATTTTTTTTTACATTTTTAATACTTATCTTTAAATATTTGAAAGTCACTTATGGAAATCAAATTTTACATTTCTTAAATATTTATGAAACATTACACATTTGAAATTTGGAAATTATGAAAATCTTACATTTAAAAAAATACATAAATTTAATTAATTTATTTATTTATTTAACATTTGAAAAAGTTACTTATTATTATTATTATTAGTAGTAGTAGTAGTAGTAGTTATATATTATTTTTTGTAATATTATGAATTTTAAACTATTACATAAATTTTTTTTTAAAGGTAATTTTAATACTTATCAGTACAAATTATCAAAACAAATTTTGCTTTAAAAAAAATATATATATATATTTATGTAACATTACACAATTTGAAAATTATGGAAATCTTACATTAAAAAATACATAAAACTTTTCATTCATTCATTCATTCATATATATTTGAAAAAGTTAGTTTAGAAATCTTACATTGACCAAATTTAACATTTAAAATAAGTTTGTAACATTACGCATTTAAAAATGGCTGTAGAAAAGGCCAAAAAAAATCCATATTAAAAATGTAAGAAAAAGAAAGTTTCCAAAAAGCTTTTATTTTATTTTATTTATTTGTAAGTCCTTACATTTTACTTTCACTGTACCGTGCGCTTTTAGACTTGAGATCGCAGCGTTTAATGTTTAAACAATGTAAAGTCTTGTTTTAAAGCACTGGTAATGATGGGAGACAGATCTAGGGACCCTTACTGGAACCAGGCTTCTTTACTGGAAGCCATTGTCATGTTAACAATACTTTTTATGACTTAATATGTAGATCTGTGTGTGTTTATATCTTGGCCTGGATTCCTATAGTGGGATAAAACATGAGCAGCTAAAGAGAGTAATAATGGCTGCCTTCTGTTTCTCTTTAGCAGTTGTGTGGGCCCAGGATTCCTACCCTAACATCAGCTTTCGGGATATACGTGTGTGTGTGTGTGTGTGTGTATGTGGCAGGGATAGTGGGGGGAGATGACTGATGTCAACCCGAAGAATTTCCTCTCTTTTGGATGGGAATGAGGGGCCCGCTCTGCCCTCCCGAGTCCCCCAGCTGTCGGCCAGAGCGATGATTCAAAAACATTAAAACCCATTATAAATGAGGCATTTGTTGCATCCAGTGGGGACATAATTACTGATTATAATGACTTATACTGTGTTTTTACGCGTTGCTTTGCATCGCGCCGCGTAAACATAAAACCATATCTGCATTTGTGATTGGAGAAATGACAAACAAAAAACGCTGCTCTACACTGCTCAAAACTCGCCTTTGAATCATCAGTGGCAAATTCTTTAAATATGAAAACGTACTTAGTCTGTGAGTCAGCATTATTTGTCAGCATCATTGTAGTCTACTCTCCCAGGAAACAGTCCTCGTCCTCCATAAAAAGCGCTGCACACAAATGAATATTTGGGTTGAAGTGTTCTGGAACAGTGTTGTAAATTCAACTTAACCACTGATTTCTAGTCGTGTCCTCTTTTGGAAGACCAAACAAAGTAGTTTCGCTTTCACAACGAAACACACAGCGTCTTCACGACATGGCGGCGGCGGCAACA